ATACTTTGAGGAAGCCTCTGGTCTTGGAGTTGTGATTTCATTTGGGCTGTTACTTGAAACCCTGACAGGAAAAACAGTGTGCTTCCTTTCCTTTTCCTTGTATATTCAGGCATGTAAGTAAGAATTATTACAGCATTTCATTTCCTTCATAAATGTCCTTATGGATTTGCTTCCAGACATTCTTAATTAACATGGTTTTAGTCACACGTCTGCAGAATCCAGAATCCAGTGAATGAACTAGGTCCCAATGAAGGAAAGGTTACTTTTTTTTTCTTTAGACATTCTATTGTTTTACATCCCATTTCTACATGCCCCTCCTATTTATGGTCATGGGGAAAGAGAAGGTGCAATGGAAACAAGGATAGAGTGCCCAGAGAAGCCTTGTTTTCATGATGCTACTCTAGGATTTTGTCCCTCACAGTCTCACATGGCAATAAAACAGTTAACAGTGGTAAGTCACTTGCACAATGATGGAGATGGGCAGTTAAGAAATATGAAATATAAATTAATAATGCAGGTCATAAAATGAGGTGCAACTCACTTAATAACTGTCTTGTTTAGCAACAGAAATGTTGGGCTCAATTGTGGTTGTAAGTTGAGGACTACCTGTAGATAGCATGCCACAAACTGTTGCCAACTTAAATGTCTATGGAGATTCTCAGTCATCCAGGTCACAGTTGTCCCAAAGGTGCTTTTTCAAAATGTAACTGGACTTTGTTTTCCTAGGAAAAATAAAATCCAGTTTAATTTTGAAAAAAACACCTTTTGGGATATTGCCAACCTACTCAACTCTACACCTGCTCAAATTGTTAGGTGTATGTGTGTGTGTGTATACATACATACATACACATCAGTGGTGGGTTGCTCCTGGTTCGCACCAGTTCACAAGAACTGGTAGTAAAAATTTGCAGTAGTTCGGAGAACCAGTAATAACATTGGCTGGCCATGCTCCCGATCTGGTTTCTGGCCCAGTCGCCACTCGCTTACCCCGCCCACCTCATCAGAGGCTTTTTTTTTTACTTTTAAAAGCATTTTTTTCTGCAATCTCTTCGGCCGAAGAGGTTGTAGAAAAAAAAAAAGCCTTTAAAAGCCTCTGGCGATCCCAGCTGAGTTGCCTGATCGTCAGAGGCTTCTAAAAGCATTTTTTTCTGCAATCTCTTAAGGTTGTAGAAAAAGTGCTTTTAAAAATAAATTTTAAAAAAAAAGTTGGCCACTCCCACCCAGTCACATTACCCCCTCACCAAGCAACGTCCACAAAATAAGCCACGCCCACAGAACTGGTAGTAAAAAAATTTAGAACCCATCCCTGATACACATACACACACACACATATATATAAACACACATACATATATACATACATACATACATACATACATACATACATATATACGTATACAGTACATATGGATATATACTGTAAGTATATGTATATATTTGTTTACATGTGTGTATGTGTGGGTGTGTGTATATATATATACACACACACACACACACACACACACACACACACACACAGACACACACACATTTGTCTACTCTAGCCAGAAAACCTTTAAACCGTTTACCCTCCAAATCTTACTGAATCTGAAATCAGAAATGGGAAAAGGTAAATTTGCTTCATCCAATTTAGGGATGTTCTATGGGAAAAATGTCCCAGTCATATATTCCTAATAGTTTTGTGCTCCCTCAGTGGCTTTGTACTGGAGGTGGGAGAGTAATGGCATTCTCGTTCAACAGCTAATTTTATGAGAGAGTGTAATTGCTACAGTTTCTCACATCTGGGGCTTCCTTTTTTTTTTCTCCTTTCCAGTTGGCCTGACTGCCCAATATTTAATTAGAGTGACCCATTTTACACACACACCAACTTGTCACTTTCTAATGAAGATGATCTTCAGCATAGAAGAACGGCTTGATGCATTTTTAGATGATGCCTAGGGACCCATTACTGCAATGTTATTGTCTCTGAATGAGTGTATTTTTTTTTTATCACAGAGGAGAACTGAGCTAGAAAATTGTGTAACAGGCTGTAAAAGCTGATCAGTTCTCCTGTGTATCCTGTTTAGGAATTCCACATGAAAATGGTCTTCTGTACAAATGGCTGCATCAATATGCAAATAGCTGCATTCAGGGATTCATTCAAAAGAGACCTGGAATGGGAAGACATCTGTATAGTCTATCCAAAACTGTGATATATTGTTTTCGTAGATTTTCACGGGTACAGGAATATAAGTCTTGGTGTATTCGGGTCTTTTCCCGTGTAAGATTGAGAGTATTTTGGCAACGTTTTGGCAGAATGTCATCTGCCATCATCAGGCCTATGCAAGGGTTCTTTAACAGCAACTGCCACATCAGTTAGCCACACTCTTACCATATATTCCCTCCCCGTAGAGGTTAAGTATTTGCTTTCTTCTTTTGTCGTAGGTTTTTATGTGTATTTTTCTTCAACCAGGTAATTTTCCTACGATGAGGACCAATCAGTCCGAAATAGATCTATATTAGTCTCCCAATAGGCAGCAAAATGCTTGCTTGCTGTCTGAAGAAGCCTAGGATAGTGGATGTGATTTTACTGGGCTATGGCTGCAAACTTGGTTATGTAGGAAAATTACCCGGTTGAAGAAAAATACACATAAAAACCTACGACAAAAGAAGAAAGTATATATATATATATATATATATATATGTTTATGTAAGTTTTCACGGGTATGTATGTGTGTATAGTTAATATTTCGGGTTTCTTCCCGTGTAATTGTGGATATATCCCTAAAAGGGTAGAAGCGACGTTTCGGCAGAATCCCATCTGCCATCATCAGGCTTATGCCAGTAGTCATTTTGCACTAACTGACGTTGGAATTTCAAATCTGGTGCTGGTATTCTGGGATGGCTCCACCTTTTCATTCTGATTGGTTGGGAGTCCCAGTATGTGTTTATTGGCTTGGCTTCGGGTGTATGGTCGGTTTTTCTCCACTAGGTGGCAGGGCTTTATCTTTGTGGCTGGTTTGAATATGATTTGGTTGGGATTTTTTTGTGCAATGTTTGGTCCATGTTCCACATATGGTGTCAAGATTCGTCTATCTATGAGAGCAGGTTTCCAAATAGTAGGCAGACGTGAAGTGTCATCCCGTTTATTCATGCAATATGGTCTTTTTTCCATTTCTATTGCTTCTCTGATTATCCTGCCATTGAGATGTTCTATTTTTGCAACTGTTTTTGTTTTATTAAAATTAATGTTGTGTCCTGTTGTATTTATATGTTGAACTAATGATGATGTGTGTTCTTGCTTTTGTATTGAGTTTTTGTGTTCCTCGATGCGCACACTCATTCTTCTGTTGGTCTGTCCAATGTATGTTGATGGGCAGGAAGCACATGGGATTTCATATATGCCTTGATCTTCTAATTCTATTTTGTCTTTGGGGTTTCTCAGAATGGACGATATCTTTCTATCTGTGCAAAATATGGTTTTGATGTTGTGTTTTTGTAGTACTTTGCTAATTTTATCTGTTGTTCCCCTTATATAGGGCAAGATGGCTTTCCCATTGTTTTGTTCCTCTTGTTGTTTTTTATTCTGTCTTGGTGTTGTATGTTTGATCATATTGATGACTTTATTTCTACAGAACCCATTTGATGTCAGTACATTAGTTAGTGTATATAATTCAGTTTGTAAATGTGCTTCATCAGCCAGACGTTTAGTTCTTGTGGTTAATGTTTTGGCAACAGAGTTTATTTGTGCTGGATGGTGGTGTGATTTGGCGTTGAGATAGCGGTTCGTATGTGTCTTCTTTTGATAGATGGTATGTCCTAAGGTGCCATCAGATTTTTTATAAATTAATACATCGAGGAAAGGTAACTGGTTTTCTGATTCTATCTCCATGGTGAACTTTATTTTGGGATGGAGGCTGTTCAAATGTACTAAGAAGTTTTCCAATTTATCTCTTCCATGTGGCCAGATCACAAAGGTGTCATCAACGTATCTGAGCCATAATTTTGGTTTGTTAACAGTTTTTTCTAAGGCATTGGATTCGAATTCTTCCATGAAAAGATTAGCGATGACTGGTGATAATGGTGATCCCATTGGTGCACCTTCTACTTGTTTATATCTCTGTCCTCTGTGTATGAAATATGTGTTGGATAAACAATGTTCTGTTAAGTTTGTGATATGTTTTGGTAGTTGATATTTGTTTTTAATTGATGACAAGGCTTCTTTGACAGGTATTTGTGTGAATAGTGATACAACATCAAAGCTTACAAGAAGGTCACTTTCTTTTATGTGTTGCTTTTTTATTATTTGTATGAAATGGTATGAGTTCTGTACATATGAAGCAGCAGATTCTGCGTAAGGTTGAAGATGTTTTGCTAAATATCTGGCTAGATTTTGTAAAGGTGAGCCTATGGAACTTACTATGGGTCTGAGAGGTATTCCATCTTTGTGTATTTTTGGGAGGCCATACAGTTTTGGGCATTTTGATGATTTTTCTCTGGGGATAATTTTTTGTTGGATTTCTTTACTTATAGTACTTGATTTTATATATATATTTTATTTATATATATAGTGTTTTTCTATCGAGACACCTGGTCTACCCCAACATGTGGGAGTGGAGTAAGGATATGACTAGCTGATGAGAGCTAAATAGGTTGAAATAGATCTATAGTAGTCTCCCTTTATTTCTTTATCAGCAATATATATATATGTATGTATGCATGCATGTATGTATGTATGTATGTATGTATGTATGTATGTATAATGAAAATAAGGCGGCATATAAAATTAAGAAATTAATACCATTTCTTGATTGTTTATTAAAGCAAATTGTAGATGGCTTCTCATTTGTATAAATCCCAAAAAGGTTTGCAATATATAAAACAGTACTACAAAATACACCAACCCAATTAAAAAGCCATAAGTATTATCTCCCAGTTATACATTAAATACCATTGTATGTTGGCAACCGAAGAGGTAAACATGCTTTCAAATAACCTTGCAGATTGAGGATCAAGTATACAACAAAGGCTCCAGCACTGAGGAACATTTCCAGAATTTTATCCTTTGACATGTCCCAAGAAACAGAATGTAGATACCAACTAAATTAACGCCAACTCTTCAAGGCTTTAGGAGGTGAAATATCTACCATCAGAGGTAATCATGATGTCAGATGCCACTTTGATGCTTTGATGCTATGCTACTATGCTATGCTACTGTGCCTCCAGAAGCTATTTTGGTGCCAGCCTGCCATAGACTCTGGGGTCTGATGGGAGGGGGCATACATCAGAGGGCAAAGAGTTTACCGTTCCACTCCAAGCACTGTCTCAAAGTCAGTGGTTTGGAAACTGAGCACAGCTGCCTTCCTCAAAAGACCATTTTAAAAACATTTATTTTGAACTTGATTGGACTTGGAGGGGAACAAGTATGAGAGGCACCTTAGGGAAGGAGAAAGTTACACTGGTATTTTGGAATGTAAACTTTCTGTTCTGGCTTTGCATTGCTGTATATCACTTGACGTCTAGTAAACTTTACCTTTATCAACCAAATGGTGTTAAGGATCATTCTTACCTACAAGCTCGAGCTGAGGCAGGGCTGACATTGGAACCACAAACTTGAGAGACTATAATATCTTTTTCCATGAGGTTTTTCTTGTGAATTTTGAATAACACCCTGTAAAATGATGATCCAAGTTCAGATACATTGAGCATATAGTAGTTTGATTCAAACATCTTCCTGAAGATATTTATTTTTATTTTTATTCTTATTTTTATTTGATTTATATGCCGCCCTTCTCCGGAGACTCAGGGGGGCTTACAATGTGCTAAGCAATAGCCTTCATCCTTTTGTATATTCATACAAAGTCAGCTTATTGCCCCCACAACTGGGTCCTCAATTTACCTACCTTAGAAAGGATGGAAGGCTGAGTCAACCTTGAGCCTGGCGAGATTCGAACCTGCAGTAATTGCAGGCAGCTGGTCTTAATAACAGGGTGCTTTAAACCACTGTACTACCAAGGCTCCTAATTTAAATTATCATAGAAGGTTTCATTTGCAAAATATGTACTATATTAGGCTTCTCGGATGATGTCATTTCATCCATTCTGCCACTGTAAGTTTATCTGATTTTTCTCAGAGTCCTGCCCTGTTCTCACATCATCAAAACATTACTCCTTCCCCAGAGAACAGTACTACTGTCACATCATGTCCAAGGCATAATTTTACTAGACACTTATTCTATCATACTTATTATCACATCCCCAATTGCTATCCAGCTAATCTATCATCTAGCTATCTGCCAAAAGGTTTGCATTATGTTCATAAGAGACAAATGAATGGCTTAAAAGCGGGGTAGAGGGCTAGCAAATTACCTTCTGGGAAGCCGGGAACTTCATTAATTCCAGGACCTCTCCATTCTCAGAAATAATAGAGAGAGAATCCTGGTGATGGGAAGAAAGAACAGAAGTTGATTGATCAGACTGGAGTATACTAAGGACAATCAATGATCACCTTGGCCAGCAAACATCCCAGCTTTTCCATCCCTCCCAAATGAACAGAATACGGCTCTACAAATCTCAGAAAAGCAATAAAACCATCTGAAAAGTAATCTATTTGCATTTAACTTAATATTAGAAATGGTGTAAAATGCTCTCAGTCTAAGGCAGATGTAAGTCAAAATCATGAAATTCTATGAATAAATGATTTTAAGAACTGTAAGTCACACTGAGCTTATTGTAATTTGGATTTGTTGAAGAAATAGAGCCAGAGCGAGAATGCATAATGCACTCAACATAATTTTTCAAAAATCTTCTAATGGGATAAGAACAATTTGAGAAATTCCGATTAAAGCTTGGTACATTACAAAGTGGCATAATATAGCAGGCTGTTTTTATGGTTTGCTGCACATTAAATCATTGTGACGCGATGCAATGATTTACATAATTCCTCCCACATTGGATTTGTTGCACCCAAGTGAGTGAATTGGCTCTGAATGAAATGGATGATTTAATTTTTCTTCTGTCAATAAAGCAATGAGATTTGAATGCTTAGATGGGGTCAAGTAAGTGCAAATTTGCAGCTTGGAAGCAAGTGACTGGAATATGCCACAAACTCAACTTCCATTAAATCACAGCTAACTAATTCTCTACCATGCTGGAAATTTTAGTAACAAAACTTCTAATGCAGGTGGATTTTTGAAATATCATGTTCGACAAATTAAATAAATAAATAAAATAAATAAATATTTGGAACGGGGGAAGGAGGAAGTATTGGGAAAAATCTGAGCCCTTTTGAGAAGTTAGAGCTAGATTGATTTAATTTTTGGACTTAATGTTTTAGTGGATATTTCTTGTACATATGTGTATACATATATACCTTTAAACAATCAGGTACCCAAGGAATGAACATCATTTCTTTCATAAAACAGCGATATATGTTGAAAGTAAAAATAAGATGATCATCATTTAGTCATTTACACCAAATAATTACAAGGGGAGGAAGGGAGAAAATACATTACAGGAAGCAACTTCATCTATGGTAATAACAAACAAGTTCTGGACTTGTTTGTTATTACTTCAATCTTTTTTCACTTCCTTGCAAATAGTTTGGTCCATCCACCTCTGAATTGTCTAATAAGCATCTTAGATGCATAGCTTCCACTCATAGCTGTAAAATCTACTTTCAGCGAAATGGGAAATACCAAAAGAAAAATGGGGAATAATTGTTATTTCTTGGTTTGTTGTCAGGGGAACTAAGAAGGAATACAATAGAACATTCTCTGAATTTTTACAATTCTTCCCTTATTTATTGGGATCATTTTTTTCCCCATATGAAGTTAATACTAATAAGTGGAATGTGGTATGCATTATGCTATACACCACTGTCCTGTTAGCTCTCTCTCTTTCTTCTCAAGTCTTCTGCCCCATCCTTTCTCAGCTTTAATTGTGTTTGGTTTGGCTTCTTCTGTAAAATCGGGTCACTGGTTTCTCTTCTCAACCAGAACTAATTAGTGTAGTTCAATTGTTACTTATCTGAGCAACCCAAAACTCCACTAAATTTGTGAAGATACAAATCAATTCTTCTTTTCTCTCTGAGACATAGACAAGAGAAATGTAACTGCCATAAATGTTCCTAAGATGAATAGAAGCTATCTTGATTACTGGAAATAATTACTAAATAGGTTGCTGCCACAGTCTATATCAATATTTCTCCACCTTAGCAACTTGAAGATGCGTGGACTTCAGCTCCCAGAATTTCCCAGCCAGGGCTAGCTGGGGAACTCTGGGAATTGAAGTCCATATATCTTCATGTTGCTAAGATGGAGAAACACTGGTTTACATAATCCAATTTGGACCTCACATTCAACCTGTGGTGGGCTGCTGCATGGTCGCAAGGATTTGGGCGAACCCTTAGCTCAGATTGCTGGCTGGGCCTGCCCATCCACCCCTGTTTTATGCTATCCATTTATAACTTACTTTCTGGCTTTTTGGCTGGCCCAGCTGCGTTCCGTACCACCCCTGCTGTTCTCACTGGAGCTGCCTGAGCTGATTAGGAGCCTGTTTGAAGCTCCATTTCTCTCCCAAAGGGGTGTGTGTGAGTGAAGCAAGTGCACGCGTGCGCTCACAACCATGAACCCTTTGTTAAAGAAAGTGCAGCCCACCTCTGCATTCAACCTCAAAGGAATTAAAAGGATTTGAGAAAGCAACCTGATACCAGATCAATCCATTACCAAACTTCCAGGACTTAACACCCAAAAGAGAGTGGTTTCTAGCCCATTACATCATATGAGTAGGAGAATCAGGAGTAATAATTTGATTTCACTACATATAAGGGTTGTACTACTTGATGTACAGCAGTTGCTGGAACTCTTTCATAATGGCTTCATTAACTTTTCTACAATAAATCTGAGCTTTGGTGTCTCTGGAAGCCTATTCTTGCAGTTTCTTTGTCTAGCTAATGGAAAGTTTGGACAAGTCAATATTAATGATAATTGTTTGACCTGCCTTCCTGAAAAGAGAGCAATTATAAACAGAATAGGGGCCAGAAATTGGCAGTATTGGAGCCATAAGCAATTCAGAGACTACAGATTCACAGGTAAATGAAGTGAATCAAGTCCATGCATATTTCCTCTAATAGTCCAGATTTTTAGACCTTCTGTTCCTGCAAACTAATTTAGTTATAGACGTTTGGAATGGACAAATTGTTTCTGACAATTTCTGATAATTATTTGGACAATTTCCAATAGGGAGAAAAAGAAAAACACACCCCATATTCAATATCTTCCTCCTCCAATTTCCCTTTTAGGGTAGAGAGGATTCAGATTGTTATAGTTACATATCCTGGTAAATTTTGATTTCACCACACTGTGATTCTCTGTAATGTGGATGGACTTGTTAGAATAGTCTGCCATCATGGACCTATGGAATATAGACCAATTCTGAATGTTGTAGGCTATCTCCAATGAGTGGAGTTGATATCTTCTCCAGAGTTTATTCTTACTGAGGAATGATGAATCAAACTGGAGTCTTTATATTGCCAAAAGTATGTGTGTGCTTTTTGTGTGTGTCTTCAAGTTGACATTGCTTTTTGGCAACTACCTGGACAAGTCCCTGCAATTTTGGAAGTGGTTCGCCTTTAGCCTCTTCTTCCTAGGCCTGGGAGAGAATGACTGCTCCCAAGGTCAAATGGTTGGCTTCATGCCAAAGATGTGACTAAGACTCAGTTTTCCAGTTTCTAGCCTGGTGCTTTAACCAGCATCACCTCTGCTGAGCTCACTGTACTCTCCAGCAGCTGTTAAGATCAGCTTTCCGAAAGAGTACAAGACCTGGTGAAATTTGCCCTAAGAAATACTGGAATATTTGGATGCTTGCTTTAATGAAATTGCACAGTATTTTGAAAATAAAGAGGCTGTCTTCATAACAATCTGAACACTGCAGCTGTTAGACATCCTATAGAGTAATTCAGTAAACTGAGATACTACAGAATGATGCACTACACTGTTTACCTTGATTTATGGAATCAGGTTTTTTGCATTATTATTTAAGAAGCCTGAGATCTTGTCAAGACTCTTACAGATAGGTGGCTACACACATGCCCTGTTGACTCTTGCCCATCATGCCTTATTACACGGGTGTCAAACTCGCCACATCATGGTGCCGTCACATGACGTTTCATGAGGTTTTCCCCAATCACGGAGCTGGCGTGGGCGTGCCTGAGCATGACGCATCCGGCCCATGGAGTGCCAGTTTGACACCCCTGCTTTATTAGATCCATCAAAGCAGATTGGGCAGATGTGTTCACTAATTGATTAATGAGCCACTAGGCCAATGGAGTGGTTTCTGCTGCTTTTAAAGAGATGCTGTTATGGTACCGTAAAGAAATAAAACGGGGGGGGGGAAAGATTTTTTTTTCCATGAACAAGCAAATGTTTGATGGAAGGAAGCCTCTATGCCCAGCAAAGCTTTTTACTGAATATAAAGTAAGTTGTAGAACTCTTGGCTATTTTTTAAAAAAATTTCCTCATTATGTTATTCCTAGCCAGACAGATGACCCTGGGACCATGGACATTGTTGAAAACATCTTTTAACTGGTGTCTCTTAATCTTGATGACTTGTGTGTCTCAATAGAACTAGGCCTATTATCTCTGTTGCTTATATGATTGTGCCTCTGTGCCTCTGTTAGTCTGGTGACAAGCTGCAGCTTTCCTTTTCAGGTAGTTCAGCTTGGCAAAAAGGGGGAACTTGTCTGGAGGCTGTCAGATTCTCTGCATTTTTCTTTTTTTGTCCTATCATCTGGAAGCAGCACCTGTTGAAATGACAGGTTTCTTTGGACTAAATCAAAGACAGCAGCTGAAATAATTAGTATGATCTCATCAGTGGGCAGCCAAAGAGTAGCTGGGGATATGCAGCCTCTTATATGCTCATGGGGGGTGGGCACGTAAAACATGGGAGTCTGACTTTGAGGATGCAGAGGGCTTTGTGCAATCCAATATGCCTGCCTTATCTGGATCAAAAAATGTATTCAGTATTTGTAGTGACTATAGGGGATATAAATATTTCTTTGCATTGAATATCAGGAACATCAATTTTTAATATTGTGTTTATCTGTTCCTTCATTGCAATTATTTAAAATCAGCACATCTACTCCCCAAACTAGGGTTTTTGGCTAAAGGCCACTGAAAATAGCAATAGCACTTAGACTTATAGTGTTTTACAGCCCTCTCTAAGTGGTTTTACAGAGTCAGCATATTGCCCTCAACAATCTGGGTCCTCGTTTTACCAACCTTGGAAGGATGGAAGGATGGAAGACTGAGTCAACCTTGAACTGGTGAGAATCAAACTGCTGGCAGTCAGCAGAATTAGCCTGCAATGCTGCTTTCTAATCACTGCGCCATAACAGCTCTATAAAATGGCCAGCCAATAGTAGTTGCATGTACCAGCTGTTTCAAATAGAAAGAGAATTATCAGCCTCCCAAAACCAAGAACATGTCTTTCAAGTAGATTTCCTTATTGTTCCACATCTATAGACAGAATCTTGCCCAACTAAAGCAATCTACTCCCCACATGAAGCCTATGCTCTTGGAACTATTAGGGAGGGATTATCTTCACT